GCATTTGCTGCAACGCTTCACCCTGCCAGCCTCCGACTCGTCCATATCGTTGCGGATGCGACGAGTCCTCCTCCTTCCAGCCTTGCCTCGGAGCTTCGATGGGTCAGGAATATTGAGTACTTCATCGTTAGTCTCTGTGAACTCCCCAGCTATGCCGAACCCATAAATCTCGCCGCTCCATGTATGATATATTGCTTGCTTACTGAAGTACTGTGACACATATACTGCATCTGGTATGCCACACTCCGCTGCGGCAGCAATGACATGGGTGCATGGCCTGTGGAGCAGCTTCGGCTTTGCACAAGAGCAATAACATGTGCCGTCGGCTTTGAGAACACACTCCTGCTTCACTCTCTTGCGGTAGATACCCCTGCCTGCCTTATCTTGACATAGTATCTCAAACCTGTGCTGTTGGGTACCTTGCACTAGAGCTCAATGTTTCATGGCCTTTTTACGCAACTCCTCTAGCTTTTTCTACATGAAAGCTCCAAACAAAATGCTGTTGTTCGGCATAGAGGGAAGAACTGCCTGGAACCGATCCCTAAAATACCTGCATGTCCCATGTAAAATGAACTCCACTATGCCAACTAGTGGCAGTCCACGGACACCGCGCATCACCCAATTGTAAACTTCTGCCAAAATTGTTGTCATTATTCCATATCTAGCACCACCTGTGTCATACGCCTTGGCCCATTTCTCTTTTGGTTCATGCAGAATCCACTGAGAAAATTTCCGAATCTCCAATCCAGTTCTTCTAACCAATGTTGGACTATCCGTTGGGAGAGGTCCAAGAGCTTGAGGAGGGTCAGCAACGGCGGTCGATGGAGCCGCTGCACGCTGATCACTGCATTTGGCTGTCAACTCATCTAATCTCTTCCAAAGCTCATTGAATTTTTTCTCCTGGTTCTGATTGCACAGCCTCTTGAACATGTTCATGAGCTCCTTGTTCTTGAATTGCTTGAAGAAATTAGCTCCCATATGACGCATGCACCACCTACTCTGTACATCTTCCCAAACACCGGGGTATCCTCGTTCCATACTCCCAAACTGCAACTCTCCTATCGCTCGCAGAATGCCAGCGTGCCTATCATGTATCAGGCATACATTTGGACTCATACCAACAACTTTTGTTTTAATCAATTTTAGGAACCAGTACCAGCTGTCGGTATTCTCACTCTCAACAAAAGCAAATGCCAAGGGCAATACCTGATTGTTCCCATCTACCCCTATTGCAGTTAGTATCTGGCCCCGATACTTTCCTGTCAAGAATGTCCCATCAATGCAGAGAACAGGACGACAGTTCACGAATGCCATCTTGCATGCATGTAGAGCTAAGAACGCCCTTTGCAGCACACTCTTGCCAGGATGTTCAATCGAGGGGAATTTCTTCACTTCGTAAGAGCTCCCAGGGTTTCTTTCCTCGATAACACCAAGCAGGCGTGGCAAATTGTCATACGAGGCTTCGTAAGTTCCAAATCTCATCTCTATTATTTTCTGTTTGGCCCTCCAGGCCTTGGCATAGCTAATAGTATACTTGTATGTCTCTTCAATGTGTTGGATTATTGACCTTGGTTCATATGTGAGATTATCGATGACATGCGCATACATCTCAGATGCAACAAATGCACATGTAATGTTCCTGTGGTATTTCTAAACACTAGGTAGAAAACATGTATGCTTGGTAACAACTGACACTGTCCAATAATCCTTCCATTTCCCCTTATACGCGTGCACTCTCCAGGGACAACCATCTTTTTCCTTAACACACCGAACTTCATATTGCGACCGGTTCGACTTGGCAACCCAAAACTCTCTATGAAGTGACACTGCAAAATGTTTTACCGCCTCCTTCATATCTTCTGCTCTACTATAAATCGCTCCCTGAATAACCTCATTTTCTTTGTACTCCCATCTCACACTATCCTCTTCAGAGACGATCAGCCCAGAAAAATCCTCACTAGCCCATTCTGCTGGATTAATATCCGTCTCATCATCTGACGAATCACCTTTCTCTACACGCTCGTTGTCAGAATCCTCCCTCTCCATTTCATCCACAATGGCACCGACAGTCTCCCCCTCGTCGGCCACTCCACCTGGTTGAATGCCCACTGGAGCTACTACGCCCCCGTCCTCTCGTGCGTTGACCTCCTCCACAGAAGTCTCGTTTACTTCAGCACTTGGTCCCTTGCCATCATCCATGTTCGTCTGCACACCTGGATCCTTCGGGTGAACAAACGGAACCAAAGCTAGAGGCCACCCGCGTTGCAATGCATTTTCCAAATACCATCTCCACACTCGAGAGTTTTGAACTGGCATTAGTTCCCAATAAAAACCCTCAGTTGCCCGACTTACTATAACATTGATTGTTATGTCACTTGTCTGTGGATCAACTCTGAAGCCCCTCATTAACCATCCTTTTATAGAAGGTACACTCCTCTCAGCCGGTCTATCAATTCCCCTTTCTGATACAATAAAATCTGACAGATCTACCCCAGTTGGCCCGTAACGGACGTTTCCTGGTCCATGGTAAACTTGGAATATTTATTTGTTCGACATATCTGTCAACGAAATAACTAGATCATATTACTCTTTCATGCAATAAACATCTACAACGTAATATCTTCTTGTGTAAGCCAATGCAACGGTAATGTATTAATTCCAAACTAGCAGATCTACGTAGTTACCGATATCTACAATACGCACTTCTAGATTAGTACAACTAAAACCCTAAAAATATAATGCATTTATTCAAACAAATTTTTAAAGAATACACACTATTTAACTCAATAGTCACATATAGGATCTATGAATATTACCTGAAATCGGCGTCTGAATCCGGCAGGGCTTCGCCCCTTCTTCTCTTCTCCTCCCCTCTCTTCTTTTTTTTTCACTGGAATTGAGGAGAGAAGAATGAGGGCTGGGGGCTGGGCAGCAGGCCTTTTATAGGCAGCGAGGCCTGCCGCCCGGCCAGAGGGCGGCAAGGGGCCGCCTGCAAAATAGCCGGCCCCGACTGGTTTTTGCATTCGGGCCCCTTGCCGCCCCACCAGAGGACGGCAAGGGTTTTCCTGCAAAAAACCCTCCCTCCGTCACCGCCCGTTCCTCCCCCGTTTGCCACGTCAGCTTGCCGCCCCAGAGGTGGGCGGCAGGGGCTATTTCTGTAATTTTTTTGGTCGATAGATTATTTCTGTAAATATTAAAAAAAAAATCTAAAACCGAAAAAAAATCGTCACCATGCTAGTGCACAGCTCACTGTGCAATATTAGGCCTTATTCGTTTTGAAGGATTCCTAAAGGAAATCTCAATTCCTTTGGAATAAACACTATTTATGCATTATTCATGCATTCGGTTTGTAGGATTCAAAGGAAAATTTTCCATAGGAACACTATGCCAATCCTCCAAAAATCCTGCAAAATGTACTAATTCCATAGGAATGAAAACATCCACTCTATCCTCTTTTGTTTAGCTCGGTGGAGGAAAAATTTCTGTGTTCCAATCCTTTGTTTTGCACGTGCATTCCTGTATTATTCCTATGTTTTTCCTATTCCTGTGATTTGGAAATCATGTGAACCGAATAGTCACACTAATCTAAAATACCGATTTCAAGGTGCAAACTCTACCAAATCATTGGGCCACGTGGCCAAACCAAAAACCAAGTTCACATATCGTTAAAATGTGCCACGTGTCCAAAAGAGCACGCTCATTTTAAACGTGTGTGAAGAGTCCAGATAAAACAAAGGAAAAATCCAGAGCATTCTAAACTCGGTTGAAAAAAATAACATGAGAACACGAAAAGAACTGGTGAAAAAGAACTTTTAAAACAACTATAATATAATTATAATATAATTTCACTATAACTATATCATAACAATATTATAACTTGTATATAAGTATTAAAATACTATATGCAACTTTATATCTAACTTATATAGAGATTACAATGTAGTTATAGTACAGTCACACTATTGTGTACTCCTTCCGTCCCATAATATAAGGGATTTTGAATTTTTGCTTGCGTTGTTTGACCACTCGTCTTATTTAAAAAAATTTGAAATTATTATTTATTTTTTTTGACTTACTTTATTATCCAAAGTACTTTAAGCATAACTTTTCGTTTTTTATATTTGCACAAATTTTTTAAATAAGACGAGTGATCAAACCGTGCAAGCAAAAACTCAAAATCCCTTATATTATGGGATGGAGGGAGTACAATGTAACTATAGTGTTACACTACACTATAGTAACATTTAAAAGTTTTTTTTGCCAAAAAAACTTGTGACAGCTTTTTAGCAATTCGAAAAAAAATATAAACAGCGAGCTAATATTAGCTGTCGTAAACCGGCGACAAGGAAGACATCTACCGCAATATTTTCCGGATCCACGGAAGCTGTTGCCAATGAGCAAGATCCATTCACTCAATGGAGCAAGCGGAGGGCGTCGAGCCGTACCAGCTGTGATGGTCCGCGAGTGTGGACGCGCCAACCAGCCAACGAGCATCGAGGTCGAGACGCCATCCACGGTAGCAACGACCGCCACCCCAAGCTCGACCACATCCAGGAGGAAGAAGAGAGAGGGATGAAGAAGGGCTCAATGAGGATATCCAGATTTGGACAATCAAGGGACGAGGGCGATGTTACCTCCGCTACCATCATCTTCCTCCACTTCTCCTTGTTCTTGCAAGTGTTGTCTTCGTCAATGGCTGATGCCTTTCTCCTAGCACCGACGCGGCAATCCTTGTTCTCGCAAGCACCATCTTCCCCAATGGTTGTCGCCTTTCTCCCAGCACTGACGTGGCAATCCCTGTTCTCGCGAGTGTCGTCTTCCCCAACAGCTATCGCCTTTCTCCCAGCACCGACGCGACAAGTAAAGCTCCAATGCCACGATCCAACGACCAGTTCTCTAAGCCACCAAATCCGACATCCTTTAACCCACCGGATCCGGGGCCACGATCTCCGGTGATGCTGAGACATGGCGGGCCGCGATGGCAATGAGCGGTGACGGGGACGAATCATCGAAGATTCTAGGCCCTTCCACTTTCTATTACTAGGTGATTCTCCATGCTTTGCTACAGGTTTGCTAAGCAATTTTTAATATATATTTTTTTTTCATCAATGGAGCTAAGAGTAAAAAGAATAGAAAATAATGAAACTAAGCCTCATCTTAAAAGCGAACAATTTTTACTTGTCAAATTACAGTTTTGCCCTTGACTAGAGAACAATTGCCAAGCCTAAAAATTTTAAAACGGTTTATTTACACGACAAGCAAAGGCCTAAGAATGAACTAATAACAATTTGACATTGGAACATAAGATGCAAGTAAACACCCATTAACATAAGCCATGTATAGAAGCAATGTTCAGAGTACATAGATTAGGACTTGCGCAGAATTCCACTATCAACAATATATAATAAACATAGTCAGCTAAGTAATGTACAATCTGTAATCAATAATAAATTTTTTTGGGCTCAAACAATATCAAGATACTTGGTCTTAAAAGCATGACCCAACCGAAATCTGAGCTTCAAGACCGGCCATTCACCAATTAGCTTAGTCAGAACAGGCAATAAGATTGATAGAAAACAAATTCCAATAGCCAACCACAGGATGCGAGGGGCAAGAACAGTGTATAACCCAGTGGCAAATGCTGTTGTGGTTGCCATGTATGCCAACCACATGAGGTTTCTAGTAATGGTTCTATAGTAGAGCAAGAACTCAAGGTCCTCTGACCTAGACAGGATGCACACGAAGGCAACAGCAAGTGAGGAGCACATAGCTAAGGTGTCAGAGATCAAGAATGCCTGAAATGCCAGCTTTCTAGCCATGATAGGATGCCCATCATCGCTGCTATATCCTCCAGGTAAGGTGAAAGCAGCAGCGAAGGTGATTGTTGCGATGAGGATTGCCACCAAAGAAGTGTTGTTTGTGTATGATTGAGTCAGTGACTTGACATCTTTCCTTGATTCATTAGTTACCTTTTGCTTGGCTTCCTCAAGAAGGTTAGAAAGACATGTTGCATCTTCTGGATCAGCTCTCAACATAAGCATAGACACTTCATTCTGCACACGTAAAAAAAAGGTGCACATGAAGCACATGGTATTATGATAGCAATGCAAATGAGTGGTGCTATAAGTTTGTGATTAGAGGCCAGAATGAAGGAGAATGTAATTATGTAACAGCATTTTATAAGACTACGCATATCCTGCAAATCAAATGGAAATGATGTATTTATGCCACATGTTTTTCTTTGTCATTTGTCCCTTTGTTTACTTTTTGATTCATGCTGCTGATGCTTGTTTGGGTTTGCTTTATTAATAGTATATTGCACAGTATTTAACAGGCATCAATTCTGGTTTATTACTCCCTCCATCTCAAATTATAGAGTGTCATCTTTTTTAGGAAAAATCAAACTCACTAACTTTTGACTAATAACCATACTAATCATATAAATACTAAGTATTATGTATGTTATATCACAAGATTCATATTTTAAAATATTTTTATGTGATGTTAATTTCATATTCATTAGGAATATAACATGGAATAAATTAATGGTCAAAGTATGTTATTGAAGACCGTGTAAAAAATAAAGATCTTATAATTTGGAATGAAGGGAATACATTTTACTACTAGATCTTATGGATATTTAATGCATTCTACTAAATCAAATGACCATTTTTGACTGAATACAATAACTTCAATTATAGCTACTACTACTACTACTCCGTAAATCAAATAAAGTGATTGTACAAATTTATATACGAGAGCTCTATTTCCGGGTAAGATACTGGGAATCGATCCAAATAGGATAATAAAAATGAGAAATCAACAAGTACTTTGAAATTGCGGTGCACTAATGCCTTTCATGGTTCCTATATCAATGTTACTTTTCAGTTTCATTGCTATTGCCTTACATGAGTATGTATGCTTAATTTGTTCAGCAGCTTACTGATTTCCAGTCAAATTTATCTTCCTTTTCTACCATGAATTAACTGCAACAGTTTTATGGAAATTAATTTGCGGCAAATATACGTACCCAGATGAGAGTCTTAGCATCCTTGGCATCCCATAGATGCGAGCTTGCTGTCTGTGCACTGTTGTCAACCATTGTGTAGTCAACGTCTTTCCGAGACAGTAGAGCGGCAACCATCTTCGGATTACGCTTCATGACCGTGTAATGTAGAGCAGTCTTTCCGCTGCTATCCCGCATGTTTACGAGTCTCTGGAGTTGCGGTGTCCTCATGATGAACTCAAAGAACTCTGTATTACCAGCTTGCACAGCTTGATGCAGGCATGTCCAGCCATTCGCACTGCAACAGGGAGCATCTGGACAATGCTTCAGAAGCTCACGAGCTGCACCAATGTGACCTCGGTATGCGGCAGCATTGAGGAGGGGTGAGCCATTTGTGGTTGTTATATATCCTAAAGACTGGTCATGTTCCAAGAATACTCGTAGCACATCAGCCTTATCCCAGAGTACAGTGAGGTGCACCGGAGAAGTCCCTTTTGTGTTTTCTTCTCTGGCCAGCCAAGGACGTGCCTCCACAATCTTCTTAGCAATAGCTGAAAAACAAGTGATCATGGCACAAGTGGAATATGTAAATTTGAGTAGTAGAAGTGGTCAATGTTCTACATAGTCCTAAATGTCAAAATCACGATTGATGCTGAAGATACCTGCATTTCCATTCCTCACAGCAGCAGCCAAAGCATTGTAGCTGCAGGCTCCCACATGAGAAGAATTGGGAATTTCCAGCACTTTCTCGAGAACGTCTGCGAGATCTCTCATCGCTGCAATGAACATGGGAGACTCGTTGTGCTTGTTCACACCTTGCGACAGCGCAGGCTCAGCTTCTATCAGCTCCAGAGCAAGCTCCTTGTGGCCACTGCGGATGGCATGGTGTAGCGCGTTGCATCCATCCCTGTCTTGCCTCAAGATTGCCTCGCTCTGTCCCAGCTCGAGGCAGCATCTGAGTAAAACTGAGGCCAGAGCATCATGGCCACTCGTCACCGCAGTGAGCAGTGGTGTCTCCCCATACAAGTTGACTTTAGCGACAAGACACGGGGATAGCACCATTAAATCTTTGCAGAAGCTCTCACGGCCATGAATGGAGGATATGTGAAGGCAGGTGTTGCCCTGTGGAGTTGTTCCGAGCAGTATGCTTGGATCCTGCGAAACCATGTTCTTCAATGATTTGGAATCACCTGATGTGGCTGCTTCCAGGAGCCCTCTGTTCATCTCTACTCCTGGTGTTTCAGACTTTCAGTGCTGATGTACTGGCTGAAACAATAAATATAGCTATAGGACCAGTAGCTGGTGACTAATTTTTTGGGGCATTGTGGCTACATACTTGATGAGATATCTTTTTGGTGCTGATTGTGAAGATATTGAATGATGTCTTTGTGCAATGCCTTACAAGAAGTAAAACTCCAACCAGATTCCACTCTTCACATGTAGAGAGCACTGCATTTTCCACACATGTAAAAAGCCCGAAACTGCAAAGAAAATTGTACAGTATATCACATCATAGCATGTATCATTTCTACATGTTTATTATCTATCGTATAATAAAATCCACTGACATGTGATCTAAGCTTTCTTGACAAGACAAAAGGAAAATATATAGTAGTACAAGATTTAACTAAAAAATATCAACATTTAGCACTTGATTTGATGAAAATCTAGGATTAGAGTAAAATTAATCTGGAAGCTATTACTACTTAAACTACAATTGTAATGTAGGATCTAATAGGATATCACGATTTCAGGGAGCGGGGTTCAGAGCCAGTTGATAGGGTTGTCCAATGTGGGTTGACTGAACTCAACTCATTAAAACCCATCACTGAAGGTACACATGAGACACGGTGACATGACCGAATTGATGAACTAGCAGAACTGTTTTCAATGGTTTGTCAAAAGTCAAAACCAGGTTTGAACAACACCCATACCTGTTGGCACGATGCTGTTTTCCCCCATGGGGCTGGTTGCTGCAGCTTGGACACCATGGTGTTGACTATGCTGCTCTTATATGGACACAAATAGAAATGGATTGGGCTGGAAACAGAGGAGGATGACAAGAAAGCAATTTTCTACGTTTTCCTAAATTTACCTCCCACCCCCGTGAGCTGGCTAATCCTGGCTTCAACCAGACCAGTGTAACTGCGTAAGTGATGGTGTGTTGTCTATTGTGCTCTCTGCTAGTGCTATTCTTCAGTGTTTGCCTGTGGTAGCTTGTATCAACTACCTTCTTATTGAATCTTGTACTTCTTTCCTACCAAAAGTGTAGGAATAAGTAATAATGCTGGCTTCGTCTAGCCTTTGAGCCACGCATACCCAGCAGTGATGGTTAACAATTAACTCAACGGCTAGTTGAATAATAATAGAAAAAAGAACCGATCAGCTCCAACTAGTTTTGAGCCCCTTAATATAAACTAATGCACGTATTGTGCCTATTCAGTTCCCCATTTTCAAACAAGTAACTCACTGTAAATCGTTCTTTCGTCCTCACATCATCAGGTTAAATGGTTAACTACCCCTTCAGCCAACTTGGCATTCCAACAAACACCTTGTGTACACAACCTTTGAGCCCTAACAAACACCATACATGTGCACAGTTGTACACGATCTCTGCGCTCTAATCTGAATAAAAACTACAGTTGCATCATAAAAGAAACATTCCACATCCAAAAAAAAAATAATAAAGCAACAACTCTCAGATAAAACACGAAGCGACAATCAAGCCAGGGCTAATATCTGGGGATTTTTATTTGAGCAAGAACAAGGGGCTAATACTTGGGATTTTCGTTCGAGCAAGAGGAGAGGATGCACTTTGTCCGTGCGTCGGCAATCCTAACGACTGGCCAGCCAACTCCTCCGCCATGGATACGACAAGCCAACTCCGCTGCGGGCTGCGGCTGTGTGCGCCGCTGTGGCCAGCCTCGCTGCACTCGGATAGAGAAGCATGGGTCGGCGTAATGCTTTTCGGCACCCGCCCCCGCGCCGAGAGCTGGTTTCTCCCCCACTTCCCCGGCGCCGCCGCGTCCCGTCGCCGGCATCTCTGCGCCTCGCCGCCACTACGGCTGGGGCTAGCTCGCCTCGCCTGCTCGCGCGTCGCCCTGGGCCCGCCGTTCCAGCGGGACAATCCTAGAAGGAAAAAGTTCCTTTTACCGTCGAGTTTCATTCGTTTTTTTTTTTTTTTTGTTTTTGACTGAAGAAGGTAGAGGAGAGAGAGAGGCTCTATCTTATAACCATTTTATTAATAGTAGTTATAACCATTTTATTAATAGTAGTTAAGGTGTTACAGCAAAAGTACATCAGAGCAGAAAAACAAGGGAAGAAGAAAAAAAATAGAGAAAAAGAGGAAGAAAAAAAGAATCATTCGTAATTCTAATCCGCAAAACTAGATATATAAATAACTATCAAAATTTCTTTTTATCCTATATCATACTAGTAATTGCCTGTACTAACGCTATGGTGATATTTTATAGTACAATAGTGATAAATAGAAAAATCCCACCGGATGTTTTTGTTGTTCTATTTTCTTTTGAAGAGCAAAACGACATATTAATTTGCAATCAAGAAATTAACATATAAACCCAAAAATAGTCTAATATAAACGCATTCTAATTAATCTTGTTCACATGGCCCAGATATTGTTAGTAGGAGCAACACCGTTATTCTTTTTGAAAATCGGCAAATCCATATTTCGGGTTGGCGGCAGCGCCGATCTGGGCGAGGGCACTGTGGCCTGAGGGGCGAACTTGGCGGCGGACGGGACTGGGGCGCAGCCGCGGTGATGTGGGGAGGAAGGCGTGCAAAGGAAAGAGGGCGGAGCGGCGTCAACGCGATGCGTAGTGGCGGTGCCGGTCAGCAGCTGCTGCGGATGATGAGGAAGTTAGCGCCACGCCGGGGATCCAGTGGCGGCAGCGGTGGAGTGGCGTCAGCGCGATGCATAATGGCTTAATGCGGATGTCAGTGTGTGCGGCGATGCGTGGGGATGGGAACGGGGTGGATGCGTGAGGGAGAGGCGCGATCGGGTGGAAGAAGCGCGGATGCCGTCAAATGCAAACTCATCAGATCATTGTCGATCGTCGGATGTGTCATACGATGAATGAGTGAACCACTTATTTAACTATAGGGTAGATGATGTGTTGACTTTTGATGTTTTTTTCCATGTCACACATACATGGCACGAGAAAAAATAAAATAAAAATAAAAAAAATCAATGAAATCAACGTGTCAGTTAGGCAAAATTTTTTACCCTGTGACATCGAATGTTTGGACACATGCATGAAGTATTAAATATAAAGAAAAAATAACTAATTACACGGATTATGTGTAAATTGCGAGACGAATCTTTTAACCCTAATTGCTCCATGATTTGATAATGCGGTGCTCCACAAATTACATCGTCCCACTCACGTCATACCAAGGAAATTCCTAAATTCCTATCTGGAGAGAAAATCGGATGGCCGGACGCCCGCACCACTCCTCTTGACCACTCCAACCTCATCTCTTTCTCTCTCATGTCGGTGGAGATGCTGAAGTAAGAGGCGGCGTCCTCGCCGGACGACGATGGCCTCGCGTCCGCCGCGCCGCCCTTGGCCGCGGCCGTTGCGGCGCCCTCCTCCTCGCCACCACCGGCCACTCGGTTGGGCCTCTCGCGCGGACCTGCGCGAGGCGACTGGACAACGGTGAGATGGAGCATGGCGGGCAGGTCGCCGGAGTCGAGGGAGGCAGTCGTGGTGCGGAGGTGGTGGAGGGAGAGGGATCAGCAGCGTGAGGAGCAAGAGCACCACTGCCGCGGAGGCTACGGGGAGGAACCGACACCGGCGGAATTAGTAGTCGTGGTGGTGGCCGAGGCCGTGGCCGAGGGAGCGCAACATTCCGGCACCGTTGAAGATTTGGTCACCGGGATGGAGGAAGAACCCAAATCTAGACCAGGTAAACTTATGTGATTTTTCGATGTTCCAATTTATTTTCTCTCAATGTTTCTCTGTGTTAAATCGAAATGTTTCACTATGTATTTTAATATTGTTTCACATTTTTTTCATCGATTCTTGAGGATCCATTGATATTTCTCAATGTTTATATGTTAAATCGAAATGTTTCACAGCGTATTTTAATGGTGTTTCACATTTTTATCATTGATTCTTGAGGATCCATTGATGTTTCAACAGTATAAACTTGATGTTTCATGTGTAAGACATAAATGTTTCAATCTTTGATTCCAATGTGTTTCATCTTTTCTAATTGGATGTTGCACACAATGGTGTTTTCGGTGTTACAATCAGCATCTTTAAATGTTGCATATAATTGGAATATTTTTAACCACATGATGAAACATTTTTTCATTGGACAAGGGAACATCTAAAACATTTTTGTTGAAACATTTTTTAGTTAATGGTGAAACATGTGAAACAATTTTTCTATATACGGTAAAACACCGTCCGAAGTTTTGACTGGGATTGGATGTCCGATCCCTAGTCGTCTCCAAATAAATAATGCTAGAATTAACAAAAACAAAGTCATTTTAGAAGCATACATTTAAGTTCTTTTGTTCGCTTCGTTGTTAGCTCATATATAATGCAAAATATAGTACATTTAGTAAACACATAGGTATGTTAATTCGGCTAATAGGTTAGAGAAATGATTTTTCACCCACCAAATTAACAATATCTTCAAATGATCAAATCCAAGCTATCTATTATGCCTCCCTCATTTCATACTAACCCTTCACCCACTTTCCTATTCTAATCCCGTTCCTCTTTATCAGTTAACGGTAGAGTCCCTAAACCTTTTTAGGATCTGTAAGAGAATTTCTAGAGTGGGGTGCACGTTGATTTATCTCAACGAAATTGATGTTCAATCACACGGTAACATAACTAAATTCTCTTTGTTAAATCCCATCCCCACCTGTAAATAATCATAAGAGGATTCCATCAAACGTGACAAGTATAACTGATGACAAGATCAAAATCTCTAAAATTCCCAAATTTTTTTAGGACATATACAACAAAATCCACAAAAGAATGGCATAGAAGATCAAATTGTATGAAATAAGAATGGCATAAAACTCGCAGAAGTACTGTACCTTATATAAAATCGGAGAGCAGTAGCTAAAGATCCATATATGCTGCTGAAGGCAGTTATAGGGATCTTAAGAGGGTCGCCAACCCAGCCTTCTTATCGTTTTATCTATTGCACGCCAAACGCTAAACAATTTCGATAATGACATCAACACTGATTTGGCCCCCTGTTTTGATTAGGTCTTCTAATTGCATTGTCATGGTGCACACCATTGTGATTAAACTACATAGTATATACTAGGGGCGGAGCCAGGAAACCACCAAAAGTAGGGCTCACAACCTGTTTAGATACCTTATATCTTCGAAAGTTTCACTAAAATTTAAATGAATCTTATAGGAATTTAGGAAACAAGCCTAAAGCCCTAGCTGCCCTAGGCTTGTCATATACTAACTATTCTTTCTTGTATAAAAGTTAGACACATATACTCACGCACACAAGCCACATTCACGCTCATGTACACCCCAGATGGGTGCACCTTAGATTGGACTAGTCTCACGCAATTATATATATGAATTTGGTTGAAGTTTGATTAAACTGCTTCAAATTCAGTCAACTTTTGTTCAAGATCTGAATTTTTCATGGTGAGGTTTTGCCCAGACATGCAAAATCATGCTATCTCAGGCTCTCCCATGATCATTTTACCCAGAATGATATATTCTGTTCCCAATATTCAACTGAGCTGTACATCGCTTGGTATGTTGTTATTTTTTTTAATAACCGGAAGTGATGGACAAAAAATAGTGGCTATGGAGATGAAGGTAAGATGAGCTCAAGACTAATTTATTAATTTACTATTAATTAACAAAACTTTTTTTTACCCCTACCAATGAATTAGAAATTTACAACTTCATATCCCCATCCTTGTAATAATTTTACAATCAAGTATGTGACACATTAGTTTGCATTAATTTTTCCATTGTTCACAAATTATCATTGAACATCCCTAAAAGGCTAAAACTGTGATGAAAACTCGCATATAATTTGCAGTTAACAAATCAATAACAATAAACAAGAACTTGAAAAAAAAGATACAAGTCATTACATAAGCTCCACATGAATAATGTTCAGAGTACATTATTTAGATTATATACATGAAGTTAAAGATTTAACAATGTATGCTATTATTGATCAAACAACACGTGACACATATATTTGAACAATAACGATATAATATGCTATCATTTACAAGATATATCGATAATATCAGACCATATCAAGGAACTCTGATTTGAAAGCTTGGCCCAACCGAATTCTGAGCTTTAAGACAGGCCATTCCCCGAGCACCTTAGTGAGAATTGGCACTAAAACAGCAACAGAGCAAATTCCAACAGCTAACCATAGCAGCCGAGGGGCCAATACTGTGTATAAACCGGTTGCAAATGCTGTAGTTGTTGCCATGTACGCGAACCACATAAGCTTCTTGGTGAAGGATCTGTAGTAAAGCAAGAAATCGAGATCCTCCCATCTTGCTATGATGCATATGAACGCAACAGCAAGTGAGGCGCACATTGCTAAGGTATCTGATATCAAGAATGCCTTAAAGGCAACGTTCCTTGCCATTATAGGAAGTCCCTGGCTTCCAGCATCACTGCTGTATCCTCCAGGCAGGGTGAAAGCAGCAGCAAAGGTAATTGTTGCGATGAGGATCGCCACTAGCGAAGTGTTGCTTGTGTATGTTTGAGTCAGCGACCTTGCATCCTTCCTTGACGCATTGATCAACTTTTCTTTGGCTTCCTCGTGAAGATTATAAACGGATTTTGCATTTGGAGGATCAGCTTTAATCATAAGCATTGACACTTCATTCTGCATTAATCCAGAGAGAGGAATAAATAGAGTTCACAGTATGTCTAAAATATCAGCTAATCTATTACATGAATAAGTTTTTCTATGTGGTCCTTGATGATATATGATGAAGTACTACACTTAACCAGAAGGGTTCATGAACACTTCAGAAAGCCAAAAAGGATTTCCTCTGGGGATTGGGGGTGTGAGGAGCCAATAGATCTGAAATTAAGAAATATTTTGTCCCCAAAAAAGTTGAAATTCAAAATTTTTTTACCAAGTTTAAATATTTTTTCCTAAATTCAAAAAATGAAACTTTCAGGTGAAATAATTTCGTGCAATCCCTGTTTACAGAGATAATTTTGTGCTACTGTAACATAATGAGGAATATAAATAAGAACTACCACATAAATGTGTGTGAACATCAATGCTTTTAATAGTAAGTTATAATCTGAAAAGATGCATCACCAAAGCTTGCTGTTGTACCATCAATTATTGGGACCAGAATGTGCCTGTACTATTATAACTGGTGAGATTTGATAAGGTGCAATGGCACAGAAACAAGAATCCTCTGAAACTATGGGGATGACATGGCATCATTTCACAATTTCTCTGTTTGCTACCATCTTGCAAAGTTACCATATAAAATTCAAATTGTTCCAGATGTTTTTATTGCAAGTATGTGTTTGGTTTTACTCCAAATTAGGCAAGATCATTGTGTAAATAGTAAAGTGTTTTGAAATATTAAGTTTTAATTAATCAGATTATTCTTTTCACGGGAGTTGAGATGTTCCCTAATTAATGTTTGTTAATTTCTTGATAGTAAAATCAAGTTACTAGCGGTGATTGCAAAATGGACAAAATGACCACATCATCAATGGAAAAAAAAAATCGACCTATGGCAAACATACATACCCAGTTTAATGTCTTCGCACTATCCAAGGCATCCCGTAATTCCCAAGCGGCTGCATTACCGTCACTGCCAAGAATTGTCAAGTCTATTTTCTTGTCAAGTAAAGCAGCAACAATTTTCGGATCACACTTCTGGATGGCATAATGTAGAGCTGTTTTCCCCTTGCTGCTACGCATGTTCACGAGTTTCTGAAGTCGTGGTTCCCCAAGGATAAACTCAACGAATTCCATATTACCTGATTTGACAGCTTTATGAAGACATGTCCACCCATCTTTTTTGCAATATGGAGCATCTGGGCAATATTTGATAATCTCTCGGGCAACAGCAACATGACCTCGATGTGCAGCAGAAAGGAGGAGAGGATAACCATTTTTTCTGTTGATAACATACCCTTGAGATCTGTCATGTTTCAACAATACTCGTAGCATGTCGATCTTTCCCCAACGTACAGCTAGCTGAATTGGAGTATTACCATCCTTATTTTCTTCTGTGGCCAGATTTGGGCGTTCAACGATGATTCTTTTAGCAATATCTGAGGACAAACCAAGGCATGAAGGATGTATCAATTTGAGGATTATCAAAGTTTTTATTGTCCTGAGAAGGTAATATGAGATACCACACTTTCTAGCGTTAGTTTATGGTGCCTCCTTGCACTTACCTATTATTGAGGTACCGAGAGGTATCATATATAAATACTAAAAAGTATGGCATCTCCTCAAGGACAATACAAAGCATGTCCCCAAGGATCTTAAAAAGCTCAAAGCATAAAGTTTCATGATACTAGGCTAGTTTGCCATGTGATCTCAATTGAACTCCATAGTTCTCACCTGGATTTCCATTTCTAATAGCTGCATGGAGAGCATTGTAGCCATAGGTTCCTGAATGAGAAGAACCATCAATTCCCAACAGTTTCTCAAAAATATCTGTAAACTTAGAATCCCTCATCATCAACGCAATGTACATGGGAGACTCGCCGTATTTGTTGACATCTTTGGACAAGGCAGGCTGAGTCGCTATCAACTCCAGTGCCAGGTCCTTGTGGCCGTTGCAAATGGCATGGTGCAGTGCATTACATTTGTGCTTGTCCTGTTTCAAGATTACCTCACTGAATCCTTGTTCATGGCAGTATTTGAGTAGAAAAGCAGCTAAAGTAACATGGCCACTTGTTATGGCAGTAAGCAGTGGCGTCTCATTCATCACATTCACAGTAGTGAGTAGTTTCTTCTTCACGGTTGGATCCTGTGGAAGTGAAAGAACATCTTTGCAAAATTCCAAATGGCCACACATGGAAGATATATGAAGACATGTGTTTCCTTGTGGATTTTTTCCAAGCAGAATTGTAGGATCATGTGAATCCATGTACTTCATCTTCATTGACCTGGTATCACCAGATATGGCCGCTTCCAGGAGCTCCCAATCTATGGTTGCAGTACTGGCTGCACAGGCTGCCATCTATCTTATGGAAAGGATAGAGAATGATCTCCCTTTTATTTCAACAACTTTGGATGAAGTCCCTAAAAGAAAAAAATGGATGAAGGTTAGAGGAAAGAGATAACACTATTCAGTCTCCTCTTCAAGTCTTTTGCTATAGAGCTTGATCAGGGAACATAAATTTCAGGAAGAACACAAAAAGAATTGAAAAGAAGTGTTCAAACAATCCTAAACGTGACACTTAGGAAATGAACTTAAACAAGAAAAATTCTTGGCCTCTTTAGTTCTTTCAAACTATACTACATTGCTAGTAAAAGTTTTATTGGTAGTGTTCATGCAATGGATAACGTTCAGGGACATATATCAAGCAACAAATGGTTAATGGGGACTTGTTTCAGTACACCTCTTTCTGAAATGCAAAACGTATGTGAACTTCAGATAAATTTTGTTTCTAACGATTAAGCAAATATGTACTCCTTTGAGTCATGAAAACTTCTTTTTTTTGAAACAAAATGTCATGAAAACAAGTTGTTCAGGACATGTTTGAAGTCAAACTATAAAACTTTTAACATCAATTTCATTTAAAATATTTAGATTGGATGTATGAAACTCATGCATATATTTGCCTCAAAAAGGTTAGTAATGCTACAATAATTTAAATGTTTTACAATATGAATTAGAGGTTAAACTTGTATTTTTAAAGACCATTTTAAGATCTAAAATGAGTATTGTTTATAATATATTTGTTACATAACTTTTTGTCGTTATCTCCGTAATTTGAAAGTGAGATCTAACTAATTCCGCAACAATTGAGTGTTGAGATCAGATAAACGCATCGCTCTCCCACGCATAATTGAAAGCTTTTTTCTAACCAAAGTATTTATCAAACGCGAGGGCCGCAAGCATTGTTAGAGCTAGGATTATTTAGACAATGAGGATGCAAAACTGATTACATCTTCGCCATGATTTATTATTCTACGGGTCCACATTGATTGTTGATCATTGAATTCAAACACATCTGAGGATGAACCAACTAAGATACAACCTTCAAAAATAAATTAAAAAAGAAAAAAAAACTAGTTCGCCACCTTAGATTTCAACGAACCAGAACTTACATAGAGGGGTGTGGGTTGGCCAACCCCAGGTCGCCGTTGACCGGATCCCCCTGGACGCCGCCGTTCGGCATTTGCCGGTGGGCGGTGGAGTACGGCCGGAGCTCATCGGCGTGGGTGCCTACGCGGTGGCCGCCGGCAGCAGGGGATTCGATGAGCGTTGCGTGGACGTGGTGGGTCATCTGCTGGTGGTGGCTAGGCTTATTGGCAGGAATATAATGGGCCTTTCTCTACCTTACTTAATTGGGCTGAAATGGATCACAAGTTGACAACATATTGCACCTGTCTAAAATTTGGTGGAAATTTTGCTACAGCACACCGTGACTTTGCGGTTTTAGCCATAGGACACAAGACGAAGTGACTTTTAGGGGGAAAACACACCCAAAAGTTAGATATTTTCTGGTGGACACCGCATCCATTAAAATAATAGTTTTCGTGTGAAATGTAAAAAATGCATTTGGACCCACATGCCAGCTCTCCTATTTCTCTTCTCTCTATCACCTCCTTCTCTTCTCTCTCATCTCACATGTCAGCAATGACGGCGGCAAGCGAGGTCCGACAGCGGCGGGAGGGCTAGGGCGGAGCGGCCGTGGTTTTTAAATCATATTTGGACATAAAGGTGCAGGTTTTTGAATATTTAATATGTGGAGGGGGTGTATAGGCGGGAAAGGCATTATAGGTGTCGGTTTTAGCTGTTCCGACACTTATAGTGACGACATCGGATGTCTAAGGTTAGCCCATCGTTGTATCTCTGCCAGATCCTCCTTGATAGTCAGTACCCTACGTCGCCTTTTCTAATTTTGTATATGGGGGGCAGAAAATGCTGATTTGGTCTTACTCTAATTTTGTATTAGTTCTGTTATATGATCAGAATCATCTTTTTGCAAAATTTTTATTCCCATTGAACGTCCCGGAGCAAATTTTGCAAAATTTTGAGCCCCACACGAGAATCACCCCGGAGCAATTTAATTCCCATTGAACAACTAAAATACAAAACTAGAACGTCCCGGAGCAAATTTTGCAGTCCATTTTATTAATACTTTGTATACTAAATCGTCTAAAAGATTATTCTTTACTAATTAGGTGCTCACTATAAATTTCCACATTATTTGGAGAAACAGTGAAGTACCTACATATCAGGCCACACGCGTCCTTATGTAACGACCATTTTATGAATCGGCCTGACGATGAAGCATATCAAATAGTAAGACAAAGCTGAAGTGCTGAACAACACGAACGTCCCTACGTACCTTGCGCAGGCAGCACAATGCTCGCTGTGAGAGACGACGGAGATGACAGCCAATTAACTGGGGTGTTTAGTTGGTGATTGCAGATGAAAGGTCGACATATATACTATGAAGTTTCATGTCAACGGAAGTACGTAACCTTCACGCTTCCATGAATAATGGATTAAGGTCAGTTGGTCTCCCTCTTGTTCTTATCATATCATCGTTTCAAACAATTAATTCTATCGAGCGTGATGCCTGCCCGCACGTTGTTGCCCATTACCTCTTCTCCTTCTTCTTCTTGGTATGTACAGCACAGTATGCTGGCGCTTTTTTGGTTTTGTATGTTCATCAGCAGCTGGTTTCCACTAAAAACAAAATATAAAAAAAATGTTGATGCAATAATGGAGGAAAGACATCAAGGAAGCACTAGATAGATGATGTTAGAGTAACGGGTGTACGACTATATTCAGCAGGGTTAAATGGTAACCAGAATTTTGATGTTTTAGATAAGGGTAATGACAAATAATTAGAACTTTGACTATTGATCATGTTTAAAATACTTAGTTTGAAGGCACTAGAGCATGACATATAGATTAGTTTTAAAAAATTATATTAATAAAAATTAAATATTTACCTCTTTTTACATATTATAATATACAATTATAGTTAAAAGATATGTTTTCACTACTACACAAAATAAAGCTAATAGGTGTCGGTTGGGAACCGGCCTTAGGTGCCGGTTTTCCCAACAGACACCACCAAGGCGGCAATGATGACTGAAAGCCGGCTCGATGCATCGAGCAATTTCACTTCAAGAACAGATGAACACAACATGAACATTAAGAACATAAGATGAACACACAAAATGAACACAAGAACACACATGAACACAAGAATACGCACATGAACACTCCTGTCGGGCCGTCGCCGAGTCCCCTCCTGCGGGGCCGTCGCCTTCCCTTCCGCCACCGCCCACCACTGCCGCCCCCGCCTCCCCTCCTGCTAGGCCGCTGCTCCCGGCCAGATCTGGCGGAGGGGAGGCGCCGCCGCCGCCCCCGCCTCCCCTCCTGCCAGGCTGCCGCTCTTGGCCAGATCTGGTGGAGGGGAGGCGCCGCCGCCGCCTTCCCTCCCGCCACCCCGCCTCCCCTCCTGCCGGGCCGCCGCTACCTTCCCTCCTGCCACCGCGCGCCGCCGACGCGCGAGAGAGGTGACAGAGCTGAGGGAAAGAGAGCGCTAAGAACGAGAGAGAGAGAGAGCAGCGGGGGATGAATGGATAAGAACGATGACTCGGGCAGTGTGGATAAGAACGAGAGCAGTGACTCGGCGGCTTGGCTCACGGGTCGGTTTTTACAAGTGTCTTTTCTAAAAACAACCGACACCTTTAATTTATTATAGTTTATTATAGGTGTCTATACTAACAACCGACACATATAGTAAAGATGTCGGTTTTTTTACATAACCGACACCTATAATCACTTAAAGGTGCCGGTTTTTTGTGTTTCGGGCCGCGGAGATGGGAAAAGACCTATAGGTGCCGGTTTTAACACTTCTGGCACCTATAGTGGCGACATCTATTTGATGTTTTGTAGTAGTGTTTTAAGGTTGCGTCATTATTCAAAATGTAAAGAACTATGATATTGGAGGAAGTATAACGCACATGTAACAGTACTTTTAACAAGAATTTAGTGTTTTTAATAATAATTTATCGACATGGAGCAAGCAGCTTGAACATGAATTATGGAATGAAGTCAGCACATGAAGAACCCGAATAGCAGCCAGAGCGACCTTGCACCACTGGTGGAGAAACCCTTTGTAGTCCCGGTTTGGAACCCCCCTCTAGTCCCGGTTTTCAAACCGGGAGTACCAATCCGGGACTAAAGATCGCTATCTTTAGTCCCGGGTGAAATAACCGGGACTAAAGATCGATCTTTAGTCCCGGTTGGTGTGAAATTGATTAGTAATTAAACAAGAAATCGTTACATAATGAAATTTTGAATTTATTTGTATGTACATCGAACTCTCTTGTGGTGATGATTTGGTCTGCAAGGCAGTGGCAATACTCGCACACGTAATAGCCGCACAAGTTAGTTCCCTGCTTTTGCTTTGCGCACTACAAATAAATGACAAACAACGAGAGATCTAATTAATATACACTTGTATGTATTTGAATCGGAGAAATATAAATGTAGATCATGTGTACTCACAGGAAATTTGAACTTCCGACTAAGTCTTTCTCTCAATTTGCCGCGGACCAAATGACGGAACCGATACCAAGCCCTACATGGAGTTTAAAGCTATGATTCATAGTAGCAATTAACATAACAAGATTTTCTTAATTAACAGAGGAACTTATGACGGTACCTGTCTATAAGTTCGAAAACCTTGTCAAACGTAGACTCTTTTTTATCCATTGAGTCATATACGTTGACGGTGCAGGCCGACAGGTCGAAGAGTAAAAGCACCCAGTGGAATCTGCAATGTGCGTGGGATGCATTACATATGAAACAGTTAGCAAGTTCGTACGGGAATGAAATTTGGTATGTAGGAAGACAGTAAAATTAAACTAACTCTGTGTTGTACGGCAACAGTATGAACGTCTTGTAATGCTGCGCCTTCAGGAGATAGACGAGATTGTCCTTTGTTTCTTGTGGATATTGGTCGAGCATTGCGACGTTTACTCTCCGAGGGTCGATGAATCCAATATCGAAAACCCTCCGCCGTCGGGCCCTTTGAATCTCCATTCTACAACGATAAAAGGGAGTATATTATTTTCTATAGTCTACTTATATACAAGGACCTAATTAATTAGAGGAGACGTATAGTAAGAAATCTAACTGAACGATATACTTACAAAATCCAGCAACTCATAATAGAGACGTCGAGGGCGTCCAGCTGGTATAGTTCATAGATTCCTTTGAAATTGATCCAGAGAATGTCATCTCCTTGCAAGAAGTCCGTGTCCCTGATCCTCGCTCCGATCATCTCTCTACCGGTGGCGCTCATCTCCATGTACAGCTGATGGAACTTGTACATTTGTGTGGGTAGGAACTGCAGCAGCTCAGGCTTGACAAGCGGTTTACCGAGTTCGTACATGTATTTTACTTCCGCCTTTTCGATTGGTGCGACTCCTAGCAATTGATCCGTAGTTAGACCGGTGTCAGTAATAAATTGTTCTATCGTCATTTTTTTACCGGTCACCAACGGCTCGATCTCCTGGTTTGGTTGCTCTCCAAGCTGAGGGACTGGTTTGGACTTTCCAGAAGATGCTTTCTTCAGCGTTCACTCATAGTCCGATAGCTTGATGGCCTCCTTGACAGATGCAGACATACCCCTGAAGAAGTTCCTGACACTGGGGTCTATAGGAATCTTCTTTTCTGGACTTCGAGGCTTGAATTGTCTCTTGACTTCTGATGCAACGTAAGCGTCAAGCTCCTCTTGCGTGCAATCGTACCCCGGGTCCTTGTTCTTGGCGGCGTCAACTTTCGCCTTCTTCGTTGCCCTTGTGTGGGCAGGCGGTGGAGTTGGGGGGGCCCTTGACTTTGAAGGTGCCGGAAGAGGAGCTTGCGGAGGAGTAGGTGTAGGAGCCCGAGGAGGAGTCAGTGCAGGATCCTGAGGAGGAGTCGCTGCTGGAGCCTGAGGTAGAGACGGTGCTAGCGGATCATGAGGAGGAGACGGTGCAGGATCCTGAGGAGGAGATGGCGGAGCCGGAGGAGATGGTGCACGAGACGCTGCTTGTCGCCCAGGGAGGATGATGTACCACCTGCGCCATAGAATAATGGCATGGCTTGTGTCTCGTAGATGCGTCTCACCGTCTCCTCTACGGTAATCCAGCTCGAGGTCCTCGTACGTGCCTTCGACCAACTCAACTTCGACCTTCGAGTATCCTGCTGGAATCGGCCTGCAGTGGTAAGTACCTGAAGGGTCCGTTGGGATGGCCATGCCCGACGCCACCTTCATGTTGTGAGAGATTATTTATTAGTAATCAACATATATAAGCAGCAACTAGCAGAATGGCTAAATCTAAAATATATAAACTACGAGCTTACCTTTATTGATAAGTTCTTGTAAGGAATATGCAGCTCACATGGTGTCCGCTGAGTGATGTCATCAACGGGACAGGTCGATTCGTCCTGTGTTTGCATGGCGTCCATGCTCTGTGATCCTACTTGCCCCGTTGAGGCGCAGCTGCTACGGTTTCCTGACGAGCTCACCATTGCAGGAGGAATGGTCGGCTGGGGATCATGGGACCGATGTGCGGCCATGCGTTCATCAACCTTCCTTGCCACCTCCTCTTGCATGCTGAGTTCGTAGCTCGATACCCGGAACTCTAGATCTGCAATCTTCGCCTCGGTATCTCTCTTACTCCTCATCCGACTCCTGTACGTGTGGATGTCCTCCTTGAAACCAATCTTCCAAGGAATCACCCCTTTCCTTCGTGTTCGTCCTGGATGCTCTGGAGTCTGCAGGGCGAGTGTCAGCTCGTCCCTATCTCTGTCCGGTCGGAACGTGCCCTGAGAGGAGGCTTCCACTGCATCTGTTAGTCGTCGTGCAGCCTCTCGTATTTGATCGCCGAAGACCAGTGAGCCATCAGCTGGGTTGAGCGTTCCACCGTGAGCATAGTACCAGAACTTCGATCGTTCCGGCCAATTGGCGGTTGCCGGTTCGATACCCCTCTCAATCAAGCTAGCCTCCATCTCCTCCCACTTCGGCATCGCGACGCTATAGCCTCCTGACCCCAAGTGGTGATGGTACTTCTTCTTGGCGGCATTTTCTTTGTTTCTTTCCATCATCGCCTGCCCTTGTTCACCTGTCTTATATGCAACGAACTCGTCCCAGTGATCCCTTAGCTTTGGGAATGTGTCGAAGTTCGGTGTCTGCCCCTTCAGGATATATTTCTTGTACAACTCTCCCTTGAAGCTCTAAAACTGTTCTGCCATTTTCTTCAGAGTCCACCTTTTCACTTTGTCCTCTGTACCCGCGGGAAGGGTGAATGTCTCGAGCATTGTGGTCCACAGCATCTCTTTCTCCGAATCTGGGACAAAGCTCTCATGATCTCCGCGTGCCCTTGTTCTTCGCCAGTACACCGTACTGACAGGCACGTTATCCCGCACAACCCAACCGCTGTGACGTACATAGTTCTTGGCGGCTTCGGCCGGGGCACTAGGACGTCCATCTTCTTCCACTTCCGTTATGATGTGCCGACCCTCAAGCTTCTTCGCTGCACCTCGTTGCCCGCGTGCCCTCTTCTGTCCAACGGAGGGTTGACTACCACTAGCCTCCTCCTCCTGGTTCCCCTCCACATCCCTTTCCACGTGCCCCTGCTGGTTCCCCTCCGCATCCCTCTCCACGTTCCCTTCCTCGTTCAAGTACTGGTTTGGAACCTCGTTCCCCTCTTCTTCATTCCAGTACTGGCTGCTTCCCTCCGCGATTGTATCGTACAATATCTGTTCCTCATCGTGGTCAGCCATCTGTTGATACAAGAAACATCTGCTAAGTTACGAGACATTTATGTTTTAACAATCTAAGTCATGTATGCTAAGTGTAAATGTCGTACATTAGAACCCTACACAACCTTACGTGCTAAGTCTAATTACAAATCGTGATATAAGCTAAGTCTAGGTGACGTATATTATACAACCCTAGCTAGTAAATAATTATATACTAAGTCTAATTACAAATAAAATAATCTTATATTAAAACTCAAATAATATTACATGCTAAGACTAAAATAGTCATGTATATGCTAAGTGTTTCGTGCGTATATGCTAAGTCTAATTAAGACTACAATAGTCAATTGCTAGGAGTCGCACCAATTCCGTAGTCAATAATTACATACTAAGTCTAATTTGCAATAAAATAATCTTATATTATAACTCAAATAATATTAGAACACTACACAATCTTATATGCTAAGTCTAATTACAAGTCTAATATTCTTAATTGCATTACAAATATAACAATCATTTATATTATTACGTCACTTGCCTGCACGAATTCCTTCTAGGGCTAGCTCTTCCACTCCGGCTTGAGGGACGACTCCGACAACACGTCTTTTCTGCAAGATACAAAAAATATGTATTAGGATAATGCGAAGTAACATATATATATATTGCATTTCACGTTCACGTTCGTTCACGTTCGTTCGCTCGTTCTCATTCACGTTCGTTCTCGTTCACGTTCGTTGTCGTTCTCGTTCACGTTAATTCGTTCGATCGTTCTCGTTCTCGCTCTCGTTCGTTCGATCGTTCTCGTTCTCGTTCACGTTCTCGCGGCAACGTACGTTGACGTGTTCGTTCTCGTTCACGTGTTAGT